CGACTGGCTTCTCCGGCTTCCTTCGAGTCTCAGCTAAAATCCCACTTTCTGCAGGAAGCCTTTCTTGACGTCCTCCATGGTAGGATATTCCATCTGTTGACTACCTCGATTTATCCTGCATATGTTTACAGCTATGAACTCTGAGACCAGAGCTCTTTAGTTGTGAACTCTTTGAGAGTAGAGATTGTCTTTTGCCTTTCTTATATGCTGGCACTTAATACTTGGCACAAAACAGGCACTTAATAAACAGTAATTGACTAACTTACAATAACCTGTGTACCACAGGTATTAATTCCATTTTTTCAGATGAGGAAACTGAGGTTTAAAGGCTGTGATGTCCATGATCACAGAGCTAAGAAGTGTCAGATGTACAACTTGAACCCAGATCTTCCTGACTACAAATTGTTGCTAATTTCTTTGTTGTTGGGTACTTTCAGATGAGAAAACTCCCCATGCTGGCAAAAGGGAATTTCCTCACCTGAAAGTTCCCTATCTATTAAAGTCAGAAGTCCAGTGCCTTCCTCTATATATAACAGCACTTTAACATGCCCTAGAAACTCTTCCTATATTGCATTATTTGATTCTCCCAACAACCTAAAAGTCAAGAGTATGAGTCTAGTACTTCTGGTTTGGGACCAAACCTGCGATTTCACTGACATAGGAAACTCTCAGTGAGGAACATCCTTGAACCAATGTTGAAAGAACTGCAGCTGCTTGACAATTTAAAATCTGGGAGTTTAAAGACTTGCTCAACTGCCAGTACCCTTCAGAAGCAGGACTTAAGCCCCAAGTCTTCCTAACTCGGAGGTGAGATGGCTCTTGATCTACTATGACAAGTTACCTGCCACAGCTATCATAATTCCCATTATATTAGGTTTATTTTTGTTATTTACTAAGTTTTCTTTTCAGCTGAGGAAAACACTTGCCAATTTGGACATGGACCCAGATACAGCATGTTATAGCTGGAAGGGACCTTGTAGATCACCTTGTCTAACCTGCATTGTTAACAGTTAATTTGTAACAATAAAATCCAAAAAGCAATAATTCTCCAACTATACATCAAAATGTTCTGTTAATACCAAAGCTGTCAAGGAACACGAAAATGTCAAATCATAAACATGAACAAAAAATATATATAACTAAAGCAGAAGCATTAGTGACTTTCAAACATTCCCTCCCTACCATCCTAAATAGTTCTCCTTCCTTGCCTTTTTCTTCCTTAGACTACTCATTAGAGTGCCTATTTATCAGGCACTGTTTGGGAATAAGCTGTTCTACATAACTCAACTGTCCAAGAGGCTGCTGAGACATTTATTTTTTTTAAACTTTAACTGTTTTTTAATGGAAATCTTTCTAAAATGTGTTGAACAGTTCCCTGCCTTCTTAAACAGGGTTCACTGCACAAATCAACAAACATCTATTATACTGAATGTAATTTAGCCTTTTTTGTGTAGTCAGTATTATAAAAATCAATTACAGCACTAAGATATAATAGGGAGGCCCTTAGGGGCTATCGGTGCTCAGAGCAGTTGGGCCCTACTGGTAGAGCTGTTAGGCTTTCCAGGAGTCTGCTCCCAACCCTTTTAAATGGCCAGTGTTCTGTGGGACTTGTAGTCACTTAATAACAGCTTATACTTATATAGCACTTTGGAGTTTTAAAAACTGCTATACCTTCGTGATCTCGTGTGATTCTCACAACAACCCTGTGAGGTAGGCAATGCAAATACTATTTTCATCTGACAGATGAGAAAACAGAACCTCCAAGAGGTAAAAATGACTTGTCTGGAATCCATACAGCTAGAAAATAACAGAGCTGAGATGAAGACTTCCCACTCTGTGTGCTTTTTAAAGCACAGCTGCCTCTACTTCTTTCTACCGTTCCAACAGCTGCACCTAGCCTCTTTTCATCCTTACCAATGCTGCACTTGCTCTCTGAACTCAGTTTTAAATTAAAATGAAAACTAGTTAGGACAGCCCCTGCTGACTAGCATGGCACTGATAATGCATCACAGTAGACTGAGTAGAAACAAACACAAATCTCTTGTTTGGTAACATGGGCTGGCAAAAAAAAAAAAAAGCTCGAGAGAGCCCTTTTTATGTGTTGGTTTCCACCACGGTAATGTGAGCTACTTTAGGGCTGGGGCTACCTTTTTTTTTTTTTTTTGCACTTGGATTTATATCCCCAGCACTTAACAATGCCTGGCACACATTAAGCACTCAACCAAGACTGTTGCTTCCCTGAAGTTTGTACACAGAAACAACATCCCAACCAGTACTGTTGAGATGAAAATTCATTACATTTCTAAAGACAGCATCAATCAGAGACACACATGACCTTGCAACATGACAGATGCTACAGCACATAATAAAAACAAGAGCACAACCTCAAGCTATCACATTATTTGTGACTTCTTGCAACTCTATTCACTATGGAATCTCTTAATTCTCTTGTCTTCCTTTCTGGATGATTGCTGAGGAAACCCGGGTGACTCTGGTCCCTTCAAAGTTAATCTCCACTTCCTGACAAAAGAGCTTTAGAAACTGACACTTTGCGGCCTCAGGGAGGCAAGCCAATGAAAGCCAGGAACTTCAGAGATGCAAGCAGCTCAAAGTAAGCCTCAAAGTCAGCAGTGTTTTAATAGAAAAACTAATAAAACTCAGGGTTTTCCTAACTCTGTAAGGCTGGCTAAGGTCACTCAGACCATCATCATGAAAAAGGCATTTACAAAGTACCTAATTGTACCTGATGCTGGGCTAGGCACATATGTACAAAGAGTTACAGAAAGCAAATTCTGGCTTAATGCGTCATGAATCCACCCCCACTCAAAGGAAAAGCCTAAAAATCACCTTTGAAACACAGGAGGTGGGGGGAAGGGGTGTAAGCAATGAGAAGGAAGAAACAGCATGACAAAATTAATGAGTTAAAGGCAATACAGGAAGCAAGATGTAATGGTGCAGGATGCATGAAGGAAATGGGTGTGTATAATAATGAAATCCATTTTTTTTTCACAATGCTGGTCTACATTTAGATTGTACCTCTCTTCGGATGTTTCCTCAAGGCTTCATAGAAGCTTATCTACATGTAACAGCCACCTGCAACACTTCATATCCACTGAAGGCCTTTTCAATCACTTACTTTTAAATATACAACACCCTTGATAATCTCAGGCTTCACAAAACATTCCCTTAACCTCAAGTCACATCATCCTAATCTATAAATAGGGTAACTAACACAGAATTCACAACCCCAAATAAAGAGAAAGAAAACCATCAGTTTAAGTGGTTCCCTCCTTTAACTACTAAATCTACCCTGGGTTACGAATATCAGGCTATTATGCAGAAATAAGCATCCTAAAAGAGAGTTTGTTATAATTTCATTTTACATTGTAAAACATCAAGTATTACTACCACCCTTTATCCACATAAACCATGCCCCACCCTCCTTCAAATCTCTCCTCTAAAAAACCTCTTCCTCAAAATGACCTATTTTCTCCCCTTAATATTTCTATTATACTTTATTGTCAATCCCTCAGCATTTATTAAGAGCCTCCTATGTATCAGGCACTGTGCTAAGCGCTGAGGATACAAAAAGAGGCAAAAGACAGTCCCTGCCTTCAAGGAACTTACAGTCTAATGGGGGAGTAACACACAAACACATATATACAAAGCAAGCTATGTACAGGATAAAAAGGAAATAATTAACAGAAGGAATTAAGGAGAGTTGAAGAAGGCTTCCTATGGAATGGAGTATTTTAGTTGGGACTTAAAGGAAGCCATTGAGATTGGTAGGCAGAGTGGAGAAGGAAGGCTGCTCCAGGCATGGAGGACAGCCAGAGAAAATGCTCAGGACCAAGAGATGGAGTATCTCTTTCAAGGAAGAACCAGGAAGCCAGTATCACTGGATCAAAGAGTATCTGTCAGGGACTAAGGTGTAAGAATGGAAAGGTAGAAGCAGGATAGGGGCTTTGAATGCCAAACAGAGCATTTTGTACTTAACCATCTGAATAGGGGATGACATGACCTGACCTGTGTTTTAGGAAAATCACTTAACCTGGAGTAGGGAGAGAGCAGAGGTAGGCAGACCCACCAGCAGCTATTGCAATAGTCCAGGTGTGAGGTGCTAAGGGCCTGCACTAGAGGGGTGGCAGTGTCACAAGAAGGGGAAGTACTGGAGAGATGCTGCAAAGGTGAAATCGACAAGCCTTGGCAACAGATTGGATATGCGGAGGTGGGGGGGTGGAAAGAGATAGTGAGGAGTCAGGGATGACTCCTAGGTTGTGAACCTAAGGGACTGAGGGGACAGGGAAGGTTGCAGGGCAGGGCTTGGGGGAATCACAGATTTTGAACTGGAAGGGTATTTAAAAGTCATCAATTCCAACACCCTCATTTGAGGCAGGATTTGAACACAGGCTTTCCTCACTCCAAGAGCCAGGCCCTCAACAATTGCTGCTTTGAAAATGCCCCACACTATACACTGTAAACCACTTGAAGGCAGAGACTGTGTCTTTCTGTTCCCAGAGCCTCTCACTTTTGGTCCAGACCTGAGACTTCATCAAGCTGATGACCTCCTAGCATGGAAACTCCCTACTCCAATGCAAAACAGCAAACTCCTTTGTAACGAAGTGTCTTCTGGAGCACTGAAAGGTCATGGGACTCACGCCTGGTCTCAGCCAGTGTGCCAAAAGCCACACTCGAACCTAGGTTTTCCTGTTGCCAAAGCCATCCCCTCCAACCATTAGTCCCTCAATAAACGTTTGCTGAATTGCACCCATTCCGCTCTAAAGAGCGCGACGGGCCAGTTGTGAATGTACATCTCAAATACCTGGGGATTCCTCACTCGGGCATCCCTCTGCCCTCCCCCTCGTCCCCGTCCCCATCCCGGACCTGATGCCCCGACCTTTAGTCACCGGAGGTATGAAGGTTCCACGTGTACAAGGAGGCCCCCTCCCCGCCTCCCCCCACGCCCCCTGCGACGGCTGCATATGCGCTTGCGCTGGGGAGGGAAGGGCGGCCCAACCCATGGCCCCGCAGGTGGGGGGCGCCTCGGGAACGAAGCTCCAACCATATGGGGGGGAAGGTAAGGGGAGGGGCTCATTCATCCCGGGGCGGGGCGGGGTGTGGGGGTTGGCCTGGAAAGACAAATTTGCACAGGAGCCCCCCAACCCAGTCCCCCCACCTACAGACACCAGAAACGCCTCGTTCCCACCTGGGTCTCCTCCTCTTCCTCCTCCCGCCGTCGCCGGCCTGGGTCCCTCCCCCCGCCCCTTCGCTGGGCACTCACGGTTCCATGTCCGCGCGCCGCGGCGGCTCGCGCCGGCAGGGGCTGGCTCCTGCGGCCAAGGCCCGGAGCGGCGCAGCCCGAGCCCGAGCAGAGGCAGAGGCGGCAGGGGCAGCGGCAGGAGCCCCAATCAGCCGGTTCCGTAAACTCATCAGAGTGCGACACCCGCACTCCCGGAGCCGCCGCGTAGCGAGGTCACGTGGTGTGGAGACGGATCCGGGAGGGGATGGAACGGAGAGGAGAGAGCCGGCCTAAGCCTGCCGTGGGGCGGTGCGCAGGGGTGCGGGGCTGTGCCTGCTTCCCTTGTCCGCCTCCGCCTCTGCCTCTGCTTCCTAGTCTAGGACGGGTTCTTAACCTGAGAGTTTGTGGGGTAGGTGAACTTGGATGGCGAAAAAAAATTACATCTGGATTCCCGTTAAACTGTAAACTGGAATTGAGTCTTTCTTTCCATGATGAATTTATTTAAATTTTAAAATAATCTTGTGTGTGCACATAAAGGAAGCTATATACATACACATGTATGGCCTATATATGGTTATATACATGTATATGTGTGTATATACATATATACATGCATGCACATATATTTATTTATATCACACATACAGCAGCTGGGTGATACAGTGCATAGAGCACCGGCCCTGGAATCAGGAACATGAGTTCAAATCCCCATCTCAGATACTTCCTAAACTGTGTGACCCTGGGCAAGTCACTTAACCCTGTTTGCCTTAGTTACTCATATTGAAAATGAGCTGGAGAAGGGAATGGTGAACCAATCCAGTATCTTTACTAAGAAAACCCCAAATGGGGTCATGAAGAGCTGGACACGATTGAACAACACACATATGAGAGAATATCTATATCCATATCCATATCTATATCTGTATCTATCTATCTAATCTTCCAGTTTTTAAAGAAGACCAATGGCAAAATTATCAAGTCTCACTCTGGAAGAGAGGAGCAGGACAAAAGTCAAGATGACTGGTGATGGCCCAGGATGTAGTGAATAACCTTGGCATCTTCAATGTCCTACCGAGCTCCACGCACTCCACCACACCTGCTTCAACCACCTTCTTGCCCACTGGAACAAATTGTTTTCATCCACCCGTTCATCAGAGAGAAATCTTCGCGTGCTTGGGGTAGACATCCCTTAACTCCCCTTGGGGTTTGAGGTCTGTCAGTTACCCTCAGCCTGGTTTAGCCTGTCTGATAAGACAGTTTTACTTGGCGTGTGGCTACAGTTCTGCTACAGTATCTTGGAGCCACAGGTGAGAGTAGGGTGACAAGTGGACACCAAAGGTAGATGAGCAGCCCTGAAAAGGGTTCAGCAAGTCTTCACACTAGGTGAGGGTGCTAGCCCACCCTGAATACCCCATATACCCCACAAAAGGACAGATGTGTGTGTATATATGTATATGTATACATACACACAAAGCAAACTATCTATATTTCTCCCTAAATTCCAACAGAATTTAGCCTCTTTTTGTGATGAATTTATTTAAAAGTAAATTTTGAAATAGCACTATGCTACATATTAGTGTGTGTGTGTATATATATATATATACATATATATATATATATATATATATTTTTATATATATGGAGTGTATGGGAGTAAATGTTGATATAATAGCTCACATTAATAAAGAACACAAAGAGGCAATATGGATAACTGGTCTGTGTTAGGAAGGCTTTTGTTCAAGTCCTGCCTCTGACACATACTGGCTGTGTGACCCTGGGCAATTCACTTAACCTCTAAGTGCTCTAGTCAACTTAATTCATTCAATAAACATTTATTAGGTACCTACTATGTGCCAGGCACTGTGCAAAGTGCTGGGGATACCAAAAGAGACATAAAACAGTCCCTGCTCTCAAGGAACTTATAGAGGGGAAACACTAGAATTACGAAGGGTTAGGGAAGGCTTCCTGTAATAGATAGGATTTTAGCTGGGACCTAAAGGAAAACTTTAAAAGATTATAAGTTACAGAGAAGATGCCAGCTTGCATTGGTAGAGGGAATTTCATCATCTAGAGGTTCCAGATGCTAATTAAATCACAAGTCCAGGCTGCAACCCATATAGCACATTATATTTTTCAGTCTTTTCCTCATGACAGTCCTACAAAGTACCTACTGCAAATATGATTTGGAATCTGAGGCTTAATAAGGCAGGAGGAAGGAGGAAATAACTTGCACAAGGTGACCGAGCCAGTCCTTGAATTCCAAGTCTTCTGACTCCAAATCTAGTGCTCTTTCCATTTCCATACTACCTTGTGATTGCTATCAGTAATGATAACAACAATGCTTTAAAAATATCTGATTTCCTCACTGAATGTTCTCTTTATCAATGTATGTCAAAATCTCAGCACTAGTTATATGATTTACAATGACCACAAACATTCATCTCCTGTGGACAGACTTCTGATGATGAGTCTTTCCAAACTTAACTAGATTGATTCTTCTCCTGTGACAGACACAGTCTATCATCAATTCCCATATTCTTTCAAGCTCATTAAGACCTGCTTTGTTTGTACTACACTGGCATAACCTTTGAGAACCCAGGGTTACTTCTGTACCTTGAAGAGGCACTGAAATAGGGCTTCACTGGAGCATAGTTGCAATAATAGTTAAAATTCTTCCAAGAGTAGAATCTATTGTGTAGTTCTTCACCCTATAAAACTATCTGACAATGGAACTTCCTTAGAAGACTTAAGGTGCTGGTGCCTCAGATTCTCCATGAAACATAGTCACCAACAGTAAATATTATTTTCTAACTAGACTTTTAAGTCTCCCATCTCTTGTGCTCAAAGCTTAAGCTCTCACAAGAGCATATCAGACATCAAAATCAGAGCATGAAAGGAGGCAGTGAATTGATGTTATAAACCTATTATATTAGGAAGCTAGTAATTGTGTACACATGTAAAAATAATCCTTCCTTCTGAGAGCTGATAATACTTGAGATAAATGCTCATCAGCTTAACATTAGTCTGATCACATTAGATAATATGTCCCTGAACAAAAGCAATTGAAAGCACACTTTTCTATCCATATGGGAACTGGGCTATTTAAAAAAAAAATGTAATAGTACAGCTTTCAAATGGTTGTGACATTTGAAAAAATTGTTTACGTTTAACACATTTCGTAGGAGACAGAATAGAAGGGAACAATGCTCCCCCTAGATTTACCCACCCACCTCCCTTATGTATCATGTATTCAGGAGCAAAAGTCATTAACATATGCAACTTTCACATCTGGAGATCTGTTTCTGGAAATAGATGACTCCATGACTCAGTAGATGACTCATTTTTTTCACCCAAGGACATTTTCCTATATAACAAAACTGTGTGGTGTCCCCAGTAGGAACTTCAGGCTTCTCTTAAATGATGCAGATCTTAATTCATAAGCCAGGTCTTCATAGTTACTATTACCTAAAATATTTAGGCAAAAGATTCTCTACTTTGCCTGGTTTTCTGAACAAGTTAAACTAAGTTTTTCCCCCTTGAATCATCTGGATGACTTAAGCAAATGCAAGACTTTTTCTCTTCTGTGAGTTTATTATCTATGCCCTCAGTGATGTAGGTGCAGTTGAGACAAGAGTAATCATGGCTAGCCTGCTACTTCTAGAAAAGGATGCCATCTTGGTAGAAGATTTACTGTGAGACAAACCATCATTTTGCTAATCACTGATATGCTCCTGCCTCCATAGTGTTACCAAACCTACTCTATGGGACACTGAACCTAGTTGGAGACCACTTCTCTAACTTCATCTGACAACTCCTGCCTAACCCCCTAGTTTTGTTGATCCCAATGAAAATTTGAAGAAGGGAGCAAAGTGCAAGACAATGAGATCAATTTTGGTTGTATTGCGTTTGAGCTGCTTACGGGTATTCAAGTGGAGCTGTCCAGCAGGCAACTGATGATTTGGGACTGGAGCTCAGGAGAGAGAATAAGACTTGATATATAGATTTAGAAGCCATCTGCAAACAGATGATGCTTGAGATCATGGATGCAAAACAGATCATTAAGGAAGTCTTCCCATACCCAAGTGAGGAAAGAATTTGGGATTAGTAAAATATCTACATAATCATAACACTAATCAGGGACAAGGTATTTATTCTCTTCCTCATTTAGGTTCTGTGTCTTGTTGATCTTCAGCTTCAGCTCCTGCTTCATCCAAGAATTCTTCCACTAAATACAGACAGTGTGGTTCAGAAACTCCTCTGAGTCTAGGAGGCTTGGTCAAGGAATTCCATTTGGTCCTGTCAAGAAATTAGGAGAGACCCTCTTTTCCAGTACTAAGGCCTAGCAAGCAAGTTGTGCCCTGAGCTTGGCGTAACAACAATCCTTTGTGCTCACCCTCTGGATGATCTCATCCTGTGACAAAATTAGGTAATGATCATATTGCTTGACCAGCACCAGGTGTTCTCTGAGCCTGAACAAACACCCACTGTATCCAAGCCCGGCTATGAATCAAACTTGTCTCATTGTTGCGGTTACCCCTCATTGTCAGGGCTACAGCTCACTATGCAGCCACTGGTATAAGTATTGAGATCTCCCCATACTGCCTTGGGTCTCCTCAGTAGGGGTGGGGTTTTGGCACATGTATCCAGATCCCTCCTTGCTTGCAAGCTGTTTCCTTCACTTTGAAATTAAACTTCTGTTTGATTTCCTGACTCTCCTGTCTCTGGTCTACTCTGTTTGGCTCCAACCATCCACAGGTTACAAGCCAGTTCAGTCTGGTGGACATTAGTTGGTGTCAGAGGTAGGATTGGATATGGAACTGGGCTATTGGTCTCTCCAGTATCAGCAGGAACAGACCAGGCACCATCGGCAATTTATTTCTGCAGAGTCCGACCGCTCTTGTCTTGTAAGTCCTCTGCCCTTGTCCCTGCTCCAATCCTCCAAGCTCCCACCTTGGTTGAGCTCACCTTTCTTTGTGAGGAAAACTCCAGGGCCCCTCTGCTGACCTAGTTCATTTCAGATCACTCTAGTAAGGATCTCCTTTCTTAAACTGTACAACTCTGTTAATTGGACTCTGAGTGCCTCTGCAGTTTTTTTTTGTTGCTGTTGTTTGTCTGTTTGTTTGTTTTTACTGCATGCCTCTGAAAATTTGTAACTGCATGCCTCTTGTCCCTGTATATGCTTCTGTTGTTTTTTAAACTGCACATCTCTGTAAAGTTGAAATTGCATGCATTGGTAACTGTGTGCCTCTGTTAAAAATTGGCAAAGTTAGAACTGTAACTGCACTCTTTGTTAAAACTATCTGTGTCTGTTTGTATCTGTCTTGTCATTTTGTCTGTGTTTGTATCTCTGTAAAATGTAAAATACCTGTGTTGTATTTGTGTTGTGAGCTGAGTAACATTACCTTGAAAGATTTTAAATGCAGCCAGCCAGGAAAATTTCTAAGGGCTGTAGCCAAGGAGTTCAGAACACTGGGAAAGCTCATTAGCTTTCATACCTGAAGCAATTGTCCTAGTAAGTAGAACTAATTCCCACTTTAGGCTTTCCTTGGGAAATTAGATTATAAGAAAAGAGAAAAAGAAAAAAATCTACAAGACACTTTTTTTCTGTCATTTCAGCTTATGGATATGTTGGAATTACAAAAATAAAGTCAAATAATCAAAGTTTGTAGAACTACTAAAAACATTTTAGCAGATTAAGGAGTTTGAAAATTAATCATTTTAAGATTGCAGGGGAGAACTCCTGAGACCCTGGGGTAATTCTAGGAACTCATTCTCTTCTGAAATACCTTAATAAGCTTTGGGGTACCACTCTGTAGAAGATTTTTAAGGAAAAATAAGGGTTGGATTTTATAAAAGTTTTAGAAGTAAATGGCAAGATCAATAGCTTCATTGTTCTAGGGCAATGAAGGAAGGCAGCCAGAGTGAAGAAAGAAAAAAAAAGGTAAACGGTTTGCACTTTACAACAACCTCTTGTTAATCCTTCTTTGACATTTCTGACCATGAAAAAAGAAAAGATTGTTTAAACCAAAGAGACTCCTGTGACTCCCACAGATCAAGAGATTTGACCCTATTAACCCTTCCCATCCCAAATCAGATTCCCAAATACTGGTATTGAAAAAAAATGCTGGAAAAATTGAATTACATTCTGGTTGCAGAAAATTATTAGCTGTGTAATCTTAGGCAAGTTATCTTATCTCTGTTTGCCCCAGTTTCCTGATCTATAAAGAGAAAAATAATAATGGTAGTTATCACTGTGAAGATCAAAATGATATAATGATTGTAAAGTGTTTAACACAGTGACTGGCATATTCTAAGTACTACATTATTATCATTTCTTTAATTGAATATAATTGTTCCATACCTGATAACTCTAAAGTGGTTTTAAAATGCCAAAGGTAATAATAAGATCATTGATTTGCTTTTTATATGTGATAATTTGGAAATACAATTGATGTCATCTGAAGTTTTGCTTCAGGTTTTAAATGTTGTTTATGTTTTTATTGTATTTCTAAATTCTCTTATATTGTGAAATTTAAGTAACAGAAATGCTGTCAGACAAAACAACTTTTTAATCTGTGTGCTGTTACACATGAATTGGGCTTTTAAAAGGATGTGATAGAAAAGACATATTTGAAAATTCTTAATTATTTAATAAGGTAAATTTTGCCATAAAGCAGTTATTAAATTTACTATAATAGCAAATTTTCATTTGAAAATTTTGGCTATTATGAAAGTATTTACAGTGGTTTAAAGATGTAGCTTCAACATATTAATGATGGACCAACTATCAAATATTTGTTGTTTGTGCCTGGGAAGAGTTTTGGATTGGAAATGACTGAACAAATTGTGGTATATGAATGTCATGGAATACTATTGTTCCATAAAAAATGATGAGCAGGCAGATTTCAGAAAAACCTAGAAAGACTTACATGAACTGATGCTCAGTGAAGTGAGCAGAACCGGGAAACCATTGTACACAGTAACAGCAAGACTGTGCAATGATCACCTATGATAGACTTAGTTCTTCTTAGCAGTACAGTGATCTAAGACAATTCCAAAAGACTCATGATGGAAAATGCTATCCACATCTAGAGACTATGGAGTCTAAATGCAGATTGAAGCATACTTCTTTCACTTTTTTTAGTTTGTTTTTTCTTTCTCATGGTTTTTCTCTTTTGTTCTGATTCTTCTTTTGCAACATAACTAATGTGGAAATATGTTTAACATGATTGTACATGTATAATCTGTACCAGATGGCTTGCTATCTTGGCAGGGGAAGGGAGGGAAGGAGAAAAATCTGGAATTCAAAATAATTCAAAAATGAACGTTGAAAATTTTCTTTAGGGGCATTTAGGTGGCACAGTGGATAGAGCACCGGCCTTGGATTCAGAAGGACCTGAGTTCAAATCCGGCCTCACACACATGACATTTACTATCTCTGTGACCCTGAGCAAGTCACTTAACCCCATTGCCTAGCCAAAAAGAAGAGAAAAGAAAAGAAAACATTCTTACATATAATTGGAAAAAATTCTATTAAGTGCAAAAAAAAAAGTTTTGGCATAGGTAGGATCCTCCTAACTCTATTTTCCCATTGTGCTATTTCCTTTCTGAAAAATAAATTTTCCCACCTGGTTAATCCTGAGCCTTGCTACACCCTGTGACTATATGTTTGACTATCACATATGACTCATGCCTGGAATCAAACAGAGCTAAGGGAGTTGTGATATATGACGTTATAACTATATCCTTTTTCCTTTTATAGAAAATTTCTATAATCAAGAAATTTTGTAAGTACAATACTAAATCTATTAAATAATAGATTGATACTGAAACATCTCTAAATTACTATAATAGGATGCAGGTATGAATATCTTTCAATTTTAACTTGTATTTGTGGTCAAATTATAATATAGGGATGATAGCCTCTTGGGGGGGAAATGATTATTTAAAGTAATAAGACAAAGATGTAATATAAAATGTTTTATAGATAAATGGAATAGTAAATTTTGGGAAAGCAACAGGATTAAACTTTTTTCTCTAAGAACTATATACATGTTCCAAATTTATTTATCATGGAAATTCAGGCTTTGAGTATGTTTTAGTAATAAGTTCTCAATTGGATTAAGGACTTATTAATTAAGGATTAGAGAAGTTACACATAGATTGTGTTGATAATGGTAAAGAAAGTGAAATTATTTTCCCATTTTTAAAACATCTGTCTGATAATCTTAAAGGGCAGAAGAGTTCATTTTGCAGTTGGACCCTCATACATTTTAAAAAGATTCTTATTTCAGGTATAGGATTTAGGTAAGGATAAAAACAGAAAATGGTATATAAATTGAAATTCTTTGAAGTTTCAGAATCATCTAGGAACCTCTAGATTTGGAACCAAAGAAGCAGAGCCCCTTTTAGAAGTGTCCTGAGAATAAAGCCTATTTTCCAAGAAAAGATATGTAGGGACTAGAGAACTACATGAAACATCTGGGACTCAAGAAGTGCTGATTAAATGGACTTTCAGAATGGGTTACTAGGATACAAGGAGATAATGTTAGTTAATATTGTTGATAATTATTGTATTGCTTTGCATGGTTTATATTTAAATTTTCTTGATTACCTTGGTGACATGCAAATTTCCTTTCTCAGAACTAGTCCACTATGAGTCTTCTAAGTAGTTTGATCTGTACCTGACTTAATGTAATTATGCAATTATGGGAATTGTGAGAAAACTTTTTGCATTGTTTGAATCTAGCACTGTGTGGCTCGGAAACTATGTGCTTTTTAGAGGCTTTTTACTAAGGACCTTTGTTATACTGACCAGAAACTCAGATTCAAAGATTGATGCAAGGAGTTTTTTGGGGTTTTTGTTTTGTTTTGTTTTGGGGTTTTTTTAGGCAATTGGGGTTAAGTGACTTGCCCAGGGTCACACAGCTAGGAAGTATCAAGTGTTTGGTCTGAGGCTAGATTTGAACTCAGGTCCTCCTGACTTCAGGGCTGGTGCTCTAACCACTGTGCCATCTAGCTGCCCAGGAGTTTTCTCTAAGGTCCCCCACCAGGTCCTTCTGACTACTACCACAGCTGCCAAACTTGTGAGTGTGGACTCCTAGATTATCTGAAGAAAGCTCCTGCTCTGAGTGAATAGCAGAACCCTCTGGGGACCTCAGAATTCATCTAGTATGGACCCAGAAGCAGCCAACATCTGGATGAAGCAGCTGTTCCAGGATTCTAAATAAGGGGTGAGTATACTGTCCTAGCTTTTTTTCCTCTCCCCTTTTGTTATGTGCCCAACCACCAAGCCCCTAATTCAAGCATGTTTTGTCATTTTCTCCTTCTAAGTTCTTGCCCTCCGTTTTCTGCTGGCAAGCAAACAATGGCTAGACAAGACCTACTACTCTGTTTATGCCCTTTGCCCCATTGTGAGTTTTGCAATGACACCTGGGACATTCTTCCCTGAAAGGTCCCTTCAAGGAACTAACCCCCTGGGCAACATCTAGTCCAGGTCCAACTGGCCTCTCATGGCATCTTGGCTTATACCTGCCTCTCCTTTATTGGCCAGAAAGGTAGGGGTTCTTTCAGACTCCCTCCTTTTTGCTAAAATGGGGAAATGTCAAGATATTAGGAAACACCCTGTTTTCCAGAGCTAAGGGCCAGCAAGCAAGCTGTGCCCTGAGCTTGGCATAACAACAATCCTTTGTGCTCACCCTCTAGATAAT